GGCCGCGCTGGGTTCCGGCCGCGCTGGGTTCCGGCCGCGCTGGGTTCCGGCCGCGCTGGGTTCCGGCCGCGCTGGGTTCCGGCCGCGCTGGATGGGTGGCAAATCTTTGAGAAGCTGGACGCTATGAAGAATCATATGGCATCTTTGGAGGAAGACTCATCAACAACCTGCATTATGCAAGTGATACAACCTTGCTTACTGCAAGTGAAGAGGACTTGAAACTTTTGCTACAGAAGATCAAGAATTGTTTTGTATGCTGTAGAGTCAGAACCAACCTATAGCTGACTCTTCAGCAGGTTTTCAGAGGCAGTTAATTGCACAGGAGGAGAGTGCCCATCTGGTCGCTATGAGTCGCAGGCCACTCGATGGCACATAACAACAACAATATCTATTGCCTCTCAACATCGAGTAGACAAAAATTCTCATCGCTGGATTAATAGGCAACATCATGAAAGATTGATGTTGTCAAGGATTTCATTTTACTTGGATCCACAGTCAACACTATGTTAGCAAAATAAACAGAAAGAAATTTTGCTTTGGGCAAATCTACTGTTAAGGATCTGTCTAAAGTGCTAAAGAGCAAAGATGTCACTTTAAAGACTAAGGCACACCTGATCCAAGCCATGACATTTTCAGTCGTTTCTTTTGCATGTGAAAGTCAGACAATTGATAAGGCATTTGATTTGATTTGATGCCTTTCAATTTTGGGATTGATGAAAAGTATTATTACAAGACTGTCAGTTCGATATACCATGGTCACTATGAAGAAGAAACAATTTGACAATTCCTTATACAGTATGATCTCTCTCACTTAGCTTGATTTTATTTTTAAAAGTGTTATACTGTTTTAAAAATAGTACAAACAGTATTCAGCATTAAGTAGTACTCCATTCTAAAAAGGCTCATAGAGTCCTAGGGATATAATCATTAGTCACCCAGTTGCTAACCAAAAGATTGGTGGTTCAAACCTAACAGCCACTCCAAAGGAGAAAGACATGATCTGTTTCTGCAAAGATTACAAACAAGAAAAGCTGGAGCAATTCTGCTTGGCTTATGGGGTCATTATGTGTTGAGATTGATTCTATTATCCGTGTTGTGTGTATAACAGCTTCTGGAAAAACACTGCCAGGAAGTGATGAAATCCAGCCACCTGCTTTTGTAAATAAAGTTTTGCTGATGAATATCCATGCTTATTTGTGCATGTATTGTCTGTGGCTGTTTCCCTACTCTATGGTGGAGGTGAGTGGTTGTGGCACAGACATTATGACTCACAGAGCAAAAAAGTATTTGCCTCGTCTTTTAGGAACATTTGCTGATTTGTGAATAGACAAGTATGTGTTAGTGTGTTGTAACCTTTTGCTAATATAATGCAATTATACTATATGATGTTGTTGTTGTTATGTGCCATCAAGTCCCCTGTGACTCATAGCGACCCTATGTACAGCAGTCCTAAACAGTACTCTATCCTGTGCTAATCTCACTGTCTCTGACACACCCTCACTACCCCAGTCACTGAATCAATCCACTCAATCAATCTTCCTCTCCTGCTCTGTCCTGCAACCCTTCCAAGCAGGACATCTGCCTCCAAGGAGCAGCCTGATTTAATCCTCTGCAGGATGAACCTGTTCATTTTCTTAGCAGTCCATTGTATATGCAATACTCATCTCCAACACCACAGTTCAAAGGCATCAATTTTCCTTCTATCCTCCCTAATCATTGTCCAGCTCTCTGATGCAAGTGACTGCAAAGACCATGGCTGTATGAGGCGCACCTTAGTCTCCAGAGTGACACCATTGCTCTTCAGTACTTTGGAGAGGTCTCAAGCAGACTTTCCCATCACAATACATCTTTTAATTTCCTGGCTACAGTTATGTATTTTACCACTTTACAATATGTCTTGAAAATTATAATTTTGCTACTTAATGCTGCTTTAAAGCAGAGTAGCCACCACATAGATTCTTAGTTCAAAATAGTAAAATAAGTTACATATTCCCTAGCAAATAACACAGAAGGAAGTTTGATGGTGTAGGATAACCCAATTTATTCCCTCAGGTCTTTGTCATAGTCTAAGATGCAGCTTGTGCCCCACTTGTCCTGATGTACCTCCAGATACAGACATGATTGAGCAAGCAAGCTTGCTAATGGGTTACAAGAAACACCTATCCTGTTGACATCCTGAGGTCATTCTGTACCAGCCTGAAGGGCATGTACCTTAAGCAATCATGCAGTCTCATTATCTGCTAATCACCTGTCCCTGCAAAGGCCATCTTACTTCACCTTTAAAGTCCCTGATTGTCTTTCAGCCAGGTATTAATTTTATAAATTTCAGTTGTTCCAACATATAAGACTTAGGTTGTTTTCCAAGTGCTGATGCAGTGACTATTTCCGTCTGGTTTGGACACATTCCTCAGTCCAAACTGTCTTAATAAACATCTTTTACTAAACAATAAAAAACAAAACAAAACAATACGTCTTGAAAATTGTTCCACATCAGCCCAGACATGTGAACCTGTCTTTAGCATCTTCCCAATAGAATAGATGCAATTTAATCAATGCATTATTGTATTTCTGTCTTTAGCATCTGCAGGAAACCTTCTTTGTTCCCTCCTTGTCTGCATATACATAAGATCTTCAGGGTAATTCTCAGAATTGGAATTCTTGGTTTTAAAAAAAGGATTCATTAAAACTGTCAACTATTACCAAAGTACTCCCCTAAGCAAATATTTCATTGTGTTCTAGGTAAAAGTTTGCATAGAAAGTGAGGGTACAATTTAACTGTTTTTACACAAAATGTTCTGTACCACTGGTTGCATTTTTCACAATGCATCACCTTTCTTATTATTTCTGTTCTGTTTGTCTTCTTTCCTTTAATCTAGTTTGTTTACCCCTCCTTACCATCTTATCTCTGCTTTATGGTAAACGTTGACTATTTGGTCTCATATGGTTATTTAAGGGAACAGAGACTACAGGTGCTATTGTTATTTTATAAGTCAACTAATTATTTAGATGAAGGTGACCTCTGGAATTGGCTTTAGTTTTAGGTTCAAAGAGTATTTAGGGAGATAGTTCGAAAGAGGGGATATCACGGTTCTTCCAACCTCTGTTGATCTTCTATGGTGTTTTTCCCCTTCTTACCTATATTATTAATGAGAGTCAGACGCCTTCAGTTTTCAGGGATAAATTGTAATCCCTGTGTAAATCTGTATGAGAGCTAACAAAATAAAAAAATACAGGACATCGGTGGGTTTGTCAAAGGTTTACAAATTATTAAAGTTGGTAATACCTTCTTATAAGTCCTTGGGTGTTGGTTCACTACTCCTGTTTTAAAGGTTGGGTTTGTCAGGCCTTCCCAACCTGACCACACCTTGTTCCAGTCAGGATTCAAAGGAATCAACTTGATGTTCTTTTTGGCTTCAGGTGGGCCCTTAGCATCTCTGAGGGCCACATGATGACATCCAGTTCTCCACACATTGTAAGAACCAGAGCAGTTCCTCTAAGCAGAAGAGTAATAAACCCACTATCAAGTCTATGCCAACTCACAGAAAGCCTGTAGAATAGACCAGTAAGACCTATAAAATAGACACCCTCTTTCACTGTGCTGCAGGTCTTCCAAGGCTGCAAATCTTTGTGGGAGCACACTGCCTCGTCTTTCTCACTTGGAGTAGTTGGTGGACCCTAAGGTTAACAGCTCCCCTGTGGGTTAACAGCCCCAAGCTTAATTTGTTGTGTTACCAAGTCTCCCACCCAGTGATAGATGGTGCTTCTACACTTGAGCTTAGCCAGAAGGCCGAGAAGCAATTAGATAGTACTTCTGCTTTAAGAGAAAGTTTACATTACTTTCCATTCCATTTGGAACCAAGATCTCACAAAACTAACACTGTAAAAATCTCATCATTCTCTTCACTTTTGTGTTCTCCTTGCTGTGTTCTTTCAAGGGCAGAAGCCTTGCTTTATTCATTTTGAGTTCACCACTCCGCCTGGCACCTGATGGGTGCCAGATAAACTGTTTTTCTCTTACTATTTTAACTGAATTCTTCCTTTTTCTTACAGAATGAAGAGATTCAAATGCTGCTTTAAATACCCACTACAACAGAAAGTTTTCATCTTGTTTTTGACTCTGTGGCTGTTCTCCATATTAAAACTTTTAAATGTGGGAAGACTGCTCTTTCCACAAAGAGACATTTATTTAGTTGAGTACCCCTTAAGCACTTCACCTTTTGTGCGAAACAAATACACCCACGTGAAGTATGAAGACAAGTATGACGTTAACTGTTCAGGTGTCTATGAACAGGAGCCCTTGGAAATTGGGAAGAGTCTGGAAATAAGAAGACAAGACATCATCGACTTGGATGATGATGATGTGGTGGCAGTAACTGGTGATTGTGAGATTTATCAGGCCATAAGAAGGTACCATCAGAAGCTTGTGTCAAAGGAGGAGATGAGATTCCCAATAGCCTATTCTTTGGTTGTTCACAAAGATGCCATTATGGTGGAAAGGCTTATCCACGCCATATATAGCCCACACAATATCTACTGCATCCATTATGATCGGAAATCTTCTGATAGCTTCAAAATTGCCATGAACAATTTAGCAAAGTGCTTCCCCAATATTTTCATTGCTTCCAAGCTAGAAGTGGTGGAATACGCTCACATTTCCAGGCTCCAAGCGGATTTAAATTGCTTGTCAGACCTTCTCCGGTCTTCAGTGCAATGGAAATACGTTATCAACCTGTGTGGGCAGGATTTCCCTTTGAAATCAAACTTTGAACTAGTGTCTGAGTTGAAGAAACTTGATGGCACAAACATGCTAGAGACGGTGAAACCCCCAGCCAGCAAAAAGGAACGATTCACTTTTCACCATGAACTCAGACAGGTGCCTTATGAATATGTGAAGCTACCGGTGAGGACAAACATCTCCAAGGAAGCACCCCCCCATAACATTGAGATCTTTGTTGGCAGTGCTTATTTTGTCCTAAGCCAAGCATTTGTACAATATATTTTCAACAATTCCCTTGTTAAAGACTTTTTTGCCTGGTCTAGAGATACATATTCCCCTGATGAGCACTTTTGGGCAACGCTGATCCGGGTACCAGGGATTCCTGGGGGGATTTCCAGGTCTGCCCAGGATGTAACTGACCTGCAGAGTAAGACTCGCCTTGTCAAGTGGAATTACCACGAAGGCTTTCTCTATCCCAGTTGTACCGGCTCCCACCTCCGAAGTGTGTGTATCTATGGAACCGCAGAACTAAGGTGGCTTATCAAAGATGGGCACTGGTTTGCTAATAAGTTTGACTCAAAGGTTGATCCTGTGTTGATTAAGTGCTTAGCAGAAAAGCTTGAAGAACAGCAGAAAGAGTGGATCACTTTGTCCTCAGGAAAGGTATTTATGGATAAAACTCCTGTGGTCCCCTTGTTTTGGAAAAATCGTAATGGAAACAAGAGGCTATCTGATTAGTAGCATTAATATGGACTCATATGCAAAACCATGCACAGTATCATTTGAACTTAATCCTTTCATACTTTGAAATTTGTCTAAAAGTTTCACACATGAGGGAAGGTGGCCTAGCCTGGTGATCATTACTATGCACTTGGTTGGTTTTTTTTTTTTTTTTTAAATAAATATTTGGTTTTGTATGTAATCTCACAGGGCTTAAACATTCAGTTAGTCAAATATTTATTGAACACTCTTATATGCCAGGGACTTTCTTAGCAAACACATAAGAATTAAATCCAAGTTGTAATAAGTTACAAAATGCCCTTGAGATACAGTGGCTTTCTCTAATCAAGCAGCAACTTCCATCTCTTTAGTTTCTTTGCATAACCATCAAGAATCTTGTGAAAAGCATTTTTTTTTTTTTTGTGAAAAGCTTTTGAAGGATGTGACAATCATGAAGCCATATAAACCCACCATTTCAGAATAGTGTTTAAGTGCAGTTACGAATACTTCCTTTGTCTCTTAAATTCAACTGTCTGGATACATTTTCCTAAACTGTAAAAGGACTAGGAGAAGAGACATGACTACCTCAGAAGAGCTCAAGGAATTGTCCGATTTCCTTTTTGCCAAAATGTAATTTATTTTTTTGTGCATTGCTTATTCAGTTTTCAGGGTTAGGAAACTCTCCATGGGGCACTAATAATGTGTGAATGTTAACACGATAAAGCTTGGGTGGGTAAGTAGAGGGACTGGATAGCTGGTCCCTGAAGTGCAACAAAAGGATTTGTACAGCTTTTGCCTCATGTGCACAATGGTGTCCCAAATGACTTCATTATTAGCTCAGCTTTTTCTGTAAAACACATTTGTTGTGTTGTTTTGTCCCATCAAGTTGGAACTGACCCATAGCTGACTCTCCAGCTTTTCAGAGGCAGTTAATCACATGGGAGGAGACTGTTAGTCCTTCTCCTGCGGAGCAGCTGCTGTCCTAGAACCGTGTGCTTTTGGAATTGCAGTGCAGCTTCTTGCGAGTAGGCCACCAGAGAACAGATTACGAGTTCAGAGTTTCACACCTTCCAACACTGAAGCTCTCAGAGTGCTGTTTCTGTACCATCAGGTCCTTTCTGTGAATTTAGTTGTGCTTTTTGCCTTCAGTAGCTAGCAACCTAAAAGTCACTGAATTTTCTGGGAAAAGGTTGTTTGAAACATGACCACTTTCCAAATTAAATTTTATAGGCATTTAAAATATTTTATTTCCTTGGCAAATGTCTGAGTGGAATTCAGATTTAAAGTTTTAAAAGCTCTAAGTTCATTGCCATCTTCTACTTCTCTGCTTACAGACAGAAAAACTAATATCCGTCCCAGGGACACACTGAGAATATTCATGAGTGACTCTTTTTTTTTTTTTAAACCCACACTCAAAAGAACTACCCAAAGAGTCAAATATACACTTACTTTAATGTCTCTGTGTTGTTTTAGAGCTGAAATGGGCTAGGAGTGTGATTCTGAGAACAGATTTGGGGTTGGCTGCTTGTGTGATATTTTTGCCAGTCTTTTGGGAAATGGTAGAACTTTATGTAAAAATTCCTTGGTGATCTTATGTTTCAATGTCTGCCTCAATAACTATTTAAAGATGTAGTTTTTGATACCTAAATATGACTGTTTGGAAGACTGATGTCTTTGATTTTTTTAAGTGTGTTTTTTTAAAACGTGTCTAAAAGTATGTTCCTTATGTAAAGTGATCTTTGATTGCTCATTTTAAATTCATGATAATAACTACAGAGTTATGACACTTGTTTCTCCCCTTCTTCCCTTAACTCATTTCTCTCCTTTATTTTAAAACCCCCTTCAAAATATTTTATTCTTCAGAAAACAACTACTACCAAGACTTTGTTCTTGAAAAGGAGACTCTGACCTAGTCGGTAGGGAGTTGCACTGCCAGCCCAAACACAGATGATTTGGATCCACACGCTGCTCTCCCCAGGCAGTGGATGATCTCTGCAAACCCACTGAAGGGTCAAACATGCGTTGGTTCTGACTCAACAGCAGTGAGTTGCGTTCAGAGTTCTTGAAAGTAACTCCATTGCAGTTGTATAGAAATAAATTCTGCAAAAGTCACCAGTTCTTTGGAATGATGTCACTTTCATGTCTATGAACTCCAGTTTCCTGGTCTTTGCAAAAACAAGGACTTGGATGCCTGTCTTGGTCTCCAATTGTGTGTGTGTGAGAGAGAGAGAGAAGAGGAAGAAGAGGGAGAGAGACAGAGAGGGAGAGAGAGAGTGTGTGTGCTGCAAAGTATTTTAAACAAACAAATACATAAAGGGCCACAGTTTTAGGACATTATCTGTCCAGGAGTATGAAAACCCCAGTCACTAGGTTTGGGATTTCTTTTTAACTCTACAATATGAGCAGGTTGGTTCAGTGCCTTAGATTGGGAATGGAGTTAGAAATCATTTTCCTGTCACCCCATGTGTATAATTCACTAGACAGTCTTTAAGTATACAAATCCCTATCTTGGTTTTTATGCCTTTAGTCAGCAGAAAATGTTGTACATACTGAAAAAGAATTACGGACTGCCTGGAGTAGTGTCATTCCTTCTGGAAAATAATTATTTTGTGCTCTGTCCAGTAGAAGCATTTCCAGTTGTCTGTTGCTTTACTATAAATTCAAGTGAATAGCTTTAAAGAATCCAAATAAAATGTGGAACCATGAAGAGGTGGTAGTGCCTTTTTTTCTGGTTATCACATTTTTCTGGACTCAGATCCTCACATTTCAGGGAGCTTGTCAGATCACCCCTTTTTGCCTTGAGAATCTCCTTGAGATTATCTGAATACTTCCCAACCTCCTTCAAACCTGAGTCTTCCTTAGAACCTTTTGGCAGGTTGGCCTTTCTGCTCTGAAGAACGTTCTACAGTCTGTGTTTTACAGTTATTCTTTGTATAGTATTTATTGAGTCTCGACTCATAAGTTATTTGAAGATGAAACCCGGATTTGTAAATTATATGTATGTATTATTAATAATGAAGGAGCTATCAAAATATAGCAAATGTATCTACATTATATGAACAGTCTACTGTAATAATGTGTTTATTTGAAGACCAGTGTTATTACTACTTTTAATGTTTTTATTCTTTTAGGTGATCCACATAAATTTGAAGATTTCTCTTGCCTTCCAAAATAATGTGAACATTTCTAAATAAGTGTTTGTGTGTGTTTGTGTAGATGTGCTTTATAAAAAATGACAATCTATAATGCAAATAAAAAGTAAATTTATCCTTATATATGCTACAACTATTTTTGTTGTTGATGATAATGAAAAAACTTTTTAAACATTTGTTTCAGCTGGTCTCCAAAATACCTGTTTTGATTTTTACTGTATTCACAAAACATATTTCTCATTATTTGAATTTTTAAAAGTTGATGTTCCATTTTTGTATCATGCTGCTGATAGATGTTAATTTTTTAAAATCATAAAATGCATTCCAGAAACCAAACTTGACTTTATGACTTTTACTTTCTGTAGTGATGCAGCTCCTCAAACAAAAACAGTTATTCAACTTTTGAAGAGCAGGATTGATTTTACTTCAGAATAAGTAAACTCAGCCCTTGTTTATATATAGAGCATAGGCATGTGGACTTAAGTTTTTTTTTAATTTGGCCAAATCTCAAAGGACTTTCCAGAGTTTCTCTCCTCATTCTCCTTCACATTAATTTCTCCTGTAATATGAGATATCAAGATTTTTTTTTCTTGGTTATTGTCTGTTGGTTTCTAGTAGGGTAAGTTGAGCTCTTTGTCTCTGCTCCATCAGTCCCTGGAAAATCAAACGTCTTCTCTGGTTATGAACATCCACCTTTATTTTTAAACTCTGTGGACACTTGAACCTGTTCCACGAGTGTCCTAAGTCTGTGTTGACAAGGTCTCCTGATTAGCATCCCTGTCCTGGATAGCAATGCCTTTTCCATCATCGATAAATTGAGTATTTAGCATCACTTCTTCTCTTAGAGTTTCCCCAACCATTATTATTCCTCAGACCCCAAAAGCCACACAAGGAGCTCTGATGGTGCAGTGGCTCAGAGCTTGGCTGATAATCAAGAAGTTCAGCCCATCAACTGCTCCTTGGGAGAAGAATAAGACAGTCTGTTTCTGTGAAGAGTTACAGCATTGGAAACCCTATGAGGCATTTCTGTGCTGTTCTATAGAGTCACCATGACTTAGAATTAACTCAATGGCAGTGAGCTTAAAAACCCAACAGTTACCACTTACGGAAGTGGATGCCACTCCTGCTTCCAAGCTTGTTTTAATTGGGGAACTTCACCCCCATGGGTATATATGATCACCTACAAAATCACAATCCTTTATTAGTAAGGTCATTTTAAGTCCATCGGTGGTAGAAATGGTTAAACATTTAGTCAAGCAGTAGCTAAAATATTAGTGGTTCTAGCCTACCCAGAATTGCCTCAAAAGATAGACCAGACAATCTCCTTCTAAAATGTCCTAGTTTCACAATAGCTTAGAGATGGAAGCAACCCTAGTGCCTATGAACAAATGAATGGATAGAAAAACTGTGGTACATTCACATAATAGAATATTACAATACTGACAAACAATGAACTCATACAACATCACACAATATGAGGGAGCCTGGAAGATATCGTGCTGAGTGAAATATCTCAGTCACAGAAGGATTAATACTGTATAGCATTGCTGTTATGAAATAGGACTGACATGGTGGGTTGGGGGGTTGTTGTTGTTGTTATGTGCCGTCGAGTCGTTTGGGGGGAGAATAAGAAAAGATGGATAGATAATTAACAATGCATTGCAACAGAGGAGTGGAAGAACTTTCTGAAAAGAATGTATGATTAGGCAATGTATGTATGACAGCAAGAGATGCATTGCAAAGAGGACTGGGGGAGGGAAAGAGAGAAGGAGGGAAGAAAATGTGCAACAATAAATGATTTTTTTAAAAAAGGTCACAGCTATAGATCATCTTTCAAACAGTTCTACTTGACACATATGGGGTCAC